GAGATAATATAGATTGTACTTAAACTGCCTCTGTGTGGTGTTGTCTGGGTGACTTCTCTGAGCTGATTTTAAGCTTTTGCTCAATGCAGGGACAGATGCTTGGTGGCTTGGGATGTTTTGTCCTCAGAAGGAAAGGTCCAGGTGTCTGTAGGAGCTGTTGGAGCAGCATTACTACAGCACTCTGGGCTGAGACACCACTCATGGCTCAAGGCATGTGTCAAAAACCTGTAGAAATGAATCCTACCTTAGGTGCTCAGTGAGAAACACCTCTGGGAGAGAGGGGGCTGCTCTCTGACATGGGCCCATACAAACAGTGACTCTGGGCTTTTCTTCCATGAGCAGCCTTGGGGCCGGGGCAGAAAGCGACAGAGGGAAGGGGAATGTTAAAACCCCAAAACATCCTGAGTGCTGCAATCTGCTGGGGACCAGGCCTACCTAGGCATCAGGGGAACATGCTCATCACTTCCACCTCAGCTCTGAGGAAAGGCGGTTTTCCACACAAGGAGGTCAGGCTTCAACTCTGGGTAAGGTGCCTGCAACATTTCCTTCCCCTTCTGCCATCCACAGAGACAAGCTCACTCCTTTCCTACTCACTGTTCCTGAGTCAGGCAGTGAGGTCACTTGGCAGGGAAGATTTTGGGCAGAGCTGCCCTGATTGTACCTGCCTCTCCTCCTGCATCCAGTCTAAGGGCAGCCCAGAGGGAATTTTTCTAGTGAAAAGCATTATTTTTCCTAGGAAAATCTTTATTGAGCATAGCTGAACTGCTCCTGCAGTGATTTGGGGAGTGATGTTCAGCATTAAGCTTGCTTTCCAAGCCCCTTTCTTTCAGGGACTATAAATCTGTCTTATTCTAAAGAGTCATGAGTGGTCCCCCATCTCATTTTTTTGGGCATGTTCTTGAACACGTCCTGCAGCAAAGCTAGAGGGAGCTAGAAAATCTGGTCTCACTGAAACACAGCTCTGTCCCAAGTTCAAGAACGACTAAACACACTCTCCCTGTGGAAAAAAAAGAACTTGCTTTATTTGTAAAGTCTACAAAATACAGAGAAGTCGGGTAGGACACATACTGTAAGTCAGAAAATAAATAAGTTTTTTTTTGCTCTATATAAGTATAAGATAAAATGTGATTTGCATATATAAAATATAAAGTACGGCTCTGTACCAACATCCTGGCTGTGCCGAGAGGCGGAATGGCAAAGAGGACGTGAAAATAACTTATGTTCGTGCAATAAATAAACCCAAGGGGAGTTGGGGTGGGGGGATGCTCACCACAGTGCCCTTCCATGAGTGGCAGGCACCTCTCTCTGGGGAGGGATGGAGGCTGCAGCCGAGGGTGGCTGGCGTGGCAATACCCAGGCAGGGGCAGAACGGAGGGGCAGGGGAATCATCCACAGCAGCAGATGCCAAGACAGGTCTACCTCTACCTCCCCTGTGCTGCCCATATTTTGCAAACCCGGCTCTTCCCCAGCATTTCAGCCTGCCGAAGAGCCCATTGTCCCACACCAGTGTCCAAGCTGGAGGAAAACCAAAGGGAGGAGCCTACCTGCCTGCTAGGCAGCTCCCAGGAGCTCTCTGTCCCTCCTTCCCACCTCCTGCACCTCCACCCCTCTCTCTGCCTCCGCAGCTGTCTCTCAAGGGCCAGAAGCACCTTTCCATGGGCTTTGTAGGCGGTGGGGCACTGGGGAGCGCTTGGTGGGGCCGTACAAGCTGGCCTGTGCTGAGCAAAACAGTGTTTATCTCTGCTCCAGCTGCCTCCGCTTCCTTCCTGCCAGTGCTGCTGCATTTCAGAGACACCCAGCCAGGCTGAGTGTCCCGTCAGCAGGAAGAGGCGTGAAGGATGTGCGTGATAGGGAAAGATAAAACAGCACCACTGCTTCTCCCCTTTGTGGAAAACAGCCTGGGCTGACCCACTCATGTCCCCCAGCTCTCTCCTGCCCAAGGGACCCTGAATCACTGTCACCTCTGGGGTCCCCCTGCACCACAAGCTGCCACAGTGCTTTCCCATTCCATTCACCCGTACCAGACATCAACCTGCAGCCACTTTCTCTCCCGCCTTGACCTACCAACCTTCCCTCGCCATCTCCATCCCCAGAGACTCCAGCCATGCTGCCACCTCCCTCCCTGCTCCAGCCATGGTCCAAGTTGTGTGCCCAATGCTGATATCCCTCTCTTATGCCTTCTTCCCCTGCACTGCAAAACCTCTCTCCCCTCCTTTCCCTCTCTGGCTCCTGGGACTGCCTGGCCTGCATTCAGCTCTCCCATACCCTCTCCCTAAAAGGAGGCACCTGGTGTTTTCCCGCCAGCTTGGAGCCATGGGATACTTCCCCACTGCTACCTGTGTGGGTTTGCTCTCTCCTGTCTGCACCTCCAGGAGGGGAGGGGGCTGTCGGGGCCATCAGTGGGGTCATGTCCTCTACTCCAGCACCCACACTGCAGCAGCCCTCCCCACATGGGGGAGCTGGAGGTCAAGGGAGAGGAGAAGGAGGATTTTGGGTACAAGTCCCAGCAGGGAGGAGGCTGAGGAAGGGCTGGGAGGCAATTCATGGGGGAAGGCGCCCCGGGGAGGTCTGTGCCCAGCCGGGGGACGGAGGCCAGCACTAGGAGTAGGCAGCCTGGTTGGTGCCGGACTTGACGATGGTGATGACACTGGCGGTGGCCACCTTGGCAGTGGGCCCATGAGTGGCCACAGTGCGGGCGAAGCCCTGCAGGGCCTCGTACTTGCCACGGAGAGTGTCGAGCTCCAGGCGCATGGCAGCGTTCTCCCGGGCCAGCTTGTCCACCTCCCACTCCAGCTCCATCTTCTGTTTCTGCAGCTCTTCCTTCTGGCAGACGCGCTTCACCCGACAGCTGGCAGCGTAACCCCGGTTCTTCAGCGTCCGACGGCGCTGCTTCAGCCTCGCCACCTCCTCCTTGGAGAGGCCCCGCAGGTGGTGGTTGAGCTCCCGCACTGAGAGCCCCATCAGCTCCTCATCCGACAGCAGCGGCGTGTTTTCCCCCAGCTCCCGCTTCCCCTGCCGGAGAGAGGGGCGGTTGCCTGAGGCACCCCAAACCAGCCCCCTGCCTCCCAACCCCCTGTTCCCACTGGCACTCACCTTCAAGGCCTTACTGGAGAGCCCGTCTGCAGCCATCGTTCCCTCACGCTGGCCCTGTTGAGCAGCCAGGAGAGAAGCTGGTTACAGTCAGCCCATGGCCTCACCACGGAACAGAGGACACCGGCCCTGCTGGTCCCCTGCCCACTGCCCACATGCTCCCCCACCCCGGGCCGTGTGACTCATTCCACTCGTTTAAAAAAAGTACGTAGTAATAATATTAATAGCAACGATGACTGCAAGCAATAATAATAATAGAGGAAGGCGGGACTTCCCATCCCTCCTTCATCCCATCCCGAGATGGTGGGGATGCTGCTCTGCCCAGGGGACCCAAAACGCCCCAGCCGGCTGCTGAGACGCCAAGGCTTCCCCGCGGGGAGGAAGCCGGGGAGGGATCCGCTAGAGGTTGAAGGGAAAGTAAAAGTAGCAGACCCACGGAGTGACACCGTGACGAGGCCACCCAGCCGGGACCCGCGCGGAGGTGCCGCCCCTCCCCCCCTGTGGCCCGGCGGGCGAGCGCATCGCGGCTCCCGGCCCAAGGGGTCGGGCATCCACACGCTCGGGGGACGAAGGGTCGGGGCCACGCAGGTGGGCGGGCGAGAAGTGCCCTCCCCGTGATTCAGCAGCACAGAGAGAAAGTCACCGAAGCAGCGCCTGTCCCTCGTCGGTGTCCGGTTCCTCCCCGTCCCGGGGCTCGGAAAGTGGGAAGGGGTTCGGGACCCCAGGCTGCAGCCCAGGAGCCTTTCCCCACCTCGGGGAGCTCCGTCCTCGTCAGGGGAGCCCTCGGAGGGGCGAGTGGGGCCGGGGTAGGGC